ATTGTAACGAATCGGAAAGCAGCTGTTTGTCACGTGTGTAATTGTGACAAATGAGAAAGCAGCTGGTAGTCACGTGTGTAGTCACGTGTGTAGTTGTGGCAAATGGGAAAGCAGCTGGTTGTCACGTGTGTAATTGTGACAAATCGGAAAGCGGCTGGTAGTCACGTGTGTAATTGTGATCCATGGGAATGTGTTCCTGTAAAAATTCATTTAGATTTTTTTTAGTATGAAATATAATGTTAAATATTATATCTTTGTTATTTTTCTTTATTCAGTAATTCTTTTTGTTTCAGCTTGAGGTTTCATTTTCAGCTGTAAATGCATTAAATAGTAGTCAAGGTCAAACACCACTAAATATGTAGGAATAACGTATTGTTTATTAGATTACTTCAAAATAAACAATCAAATTTTACTTTAATTATCTATTTTTACGTATAATGATGCTAAATAGTCATTTGCAAAACGAAAGCAAACAGAAATTTTGTTTACTACATGTTTTGCCAAATATTGCTACCCATCTGACAAGTACAAAATGATATTATTTAGTGATGTTCAACCTTGTAGTCAGTATTGCAGAATGTATTGTTTCATATGTACATTTTTGTACAAATATTAGTTTCATTCATAAGTTTCTAAGTCTAAGATCACAGTGGGAAAACCGCATCATTTAATTCAAACATGTCGTCTGCTAGTTCGGACAGTGTACAAAATAAATGAGCCGTGTCATGACAAAACCAACGTAATGCGTTTGCGACCAGCATGGATCCAGACCAGCCTGCGCATCCGCGCAGTCTGATCAGGATCCATGCTGTTCGCTATCAGTTTCTCTACTTGTAATAGAGTTGGTAAGCGACCAGCATGGATCCTGATCAGACTGTGCGGATGCACAGGCTGGTCTGGATCCATGCTGATCGCAAACCCATTATGTTGGTTTTGTCGTGACGCAGCTCAAATGTATATCGGAGTTTTCAAACCTATACTCTTCAATGTGTATGGTAAATTGCGAGCACAATCACGTAATATTTCAGATAACTGTATGATTGATTGTTAGCTGTTTAACTTTGACTCGTATCATTTTTCGAAAGCACAGAAAGTACAGGGGTTTACCCACAGTGGCTATAATCTTTTTACACAATGATCTTGTTTTAATTTTACTGATATGTTTAGTTGTTTAATATAGATCTACCTTTTAATGTTCTGTTTTGTTTATTTTTCTTATTTTATGTTTTCAGTCGCCTTGCAGTCATTTTATTTCTATTCAATATTTATTTATATATTTATTTATTTATTTATTTATTTATTTATTTAGGTAACACATTGGCAACATCCCAATTTCCATGCCTATTATGCAGCTGCGAATTCTTATACGTCTACTATAGCAGATATCCTGTCCGATTCTATTGGCTGTATAGGTTTTACTTGGGTAAGAACTTTAAAAGGACTCCACTGAGGTTTTTTGATATGATGGGGCTGCAAATATTTTTTGAGATTATTACTCCATTTAATGTAGATCTATACTAATAACTTATGTGCAAAATATCAGATCATTAGCTCGTTCCGTTTTTCCAGAATAATTGTTATTAAAGTGAAAATGACCAAGAATTGAAAAGCGTTTAAACGCTTTTAACTCAAATCGGACTGAGCATAGCAATAAGATATGATTTTTAATGTAACTATGTCTGGTATATTTTTTATTTATATTCTATTCATATTTCTGTTTTAAGTGCTAATGTTTATCTATGTGAAAATTAAGTTTTTATGTTTTTAGGCTTATAAACCTCAGTGGAGTTCCTTTAAAACAAGCAAAAACATTAAATTTTATAAAGAGCATTGTAAAGTTCATATTATTCTGCCCCGTTTTTGATGAAGATAATTTAAGTGTAAAAGTGCCGAAAACTCTATAGTTTCTATACTTAAAAACATAATTACATTTGTATATTAGTGATATTAGTGACACTATACAATAAATGAAACGAAATTGCTAAAAGGGGGTGTGTGAGGTGGGGGAGGAGAATGAAAGAAAGAAACGATCAGAGAATTTGTTGAAAAAACTTTTATTAAGGTACGTAAAACTTAAAATGACACGGTGATCGTAAAAAATTTTGATCACTTTTTGATTTGTTAGCATTTTTATTGAGTTTTTTTATTGTGTTCCTCGTATTTTTCGTATTTTTTTTGTTGCTTTTTCTGTTGTTATGGTTTTTGTCTTTGATTTTTAATAGAGAAAACATTGGATCTTAAATGCGTTTTTATGCATTCTTTTAAATACATTATAATTTACTTTAGAAGTATAAGAATTAAATACTATAAATATCAGTTTATAAGTGAATGTTGCATTAAAATAATTAGTTAAACTCACAATATTTCACTTTTAAATGCATTCTTTAAAGATTTCATGATCTGGAGGTATGCTGCGTTAATTGATAATGAATATGCATACGTAACCTTTAACCTTTTTGAACCGGAAGCGATTAGCTTTTGCTATCAGACGACATATCTGTACAATCTGGCCAGACTGACCAATTTTGAAATCACCAGGTACGTATAATATGCGTACCTGATATCACCCAAAATGATAATGGACAGTTCCGAAAACGGAAGCTGGACTATTCCATTACCCAAATTAAAAAGGTTTGGTGTTAATGTTTTGCATAATAATGCAACTATACCAAACTGTTTTGCTCAGTAAAGAAAACTATTAAACCATAAATGAGCCGCGTCACGACAAAACCAACATAGTGCGTTTGCAACCAGCATGGATCCAGACCAAGCCTGCACATCCGCGCAGTCTGATCAGGATCCATGCTGTTTCGCTTAACAACCCTATTACAAGTAGAGAAACTGATAGCGAAAAACATGGATCCTCATCAGACTGCGCCGGATGCGCAAGCTGGTCTGGATCCATGCTGGTCGCAAACGCACTATGTTGGGTTTTGTCGTGGCCCCGGCTCAAAAAACTATTTATTTGTTTCAAATTTTTTTTTCTGGTTCCCGGGGTTCAAAACTGCTTTTAAAAGGGCTTGAGGGGGTTGTTCTTAAATGGCTGGGGAAAATTTTTAGATTTCCGGAGGGGTTCCCCTTCCGGGGCCTCTGGGAAAAGGGGGCGGAGTTAAATTCCAAGGGAAATTGGGATTTTATATTTCACATTATCAAAGCGTGATTTAAAATTTTATAGGGGTAAGATCAAAATTAAATTTTTCTAATAATGGATTTTCCCAAAACAAATGGCAAAATCCTTTTAAGAAAAAGTTTAGGAAAATGGAAAAGGGGGATACCCAAAGCCCCAAAAAGGGAAATTTTCCCCCACTAAATTTGGGATAAAGGAAAAACAAATTTTTTAATTTTTGTGTTAAGTATGTCCCGAAGGTCATTTTTTCGATGCAAAAAATATCCAAAGGAAAACTTATTAAAAATTCTTTTGGGATTGAACGTTTCTGATTTTTTTAAAAATGCAAGGAAAAAGCCCAAAAAGCCGTGTTCCCCCATGGCGTAATGTACTAGTAAAAATCATTTGGCATTTTATGTTAAAACCCGGTTTTACTTTTTTTTTTCCCTTAAGGTAAAAGCGAGTGAAGCACCTGGTTGCCTTGTTTTTTCTGCCGTGCCGAGAAATTTTTCAAATACAAAAAGATCAAACCCCGAAAAAATCTAGAAAATGGGGGAAAATTAAAATTTAAAATTTTTGGCTTTCAGCTCCCTTTTGGTTTCTGTCAAAAAGACAAAAATTTTAACGAAAACAAAATAAAAAAAAACAAATTCGGGCATTTTTTAATGGGATAAATTTTATTAAAGCGTTAATTTTTTCAGATCCTCTTTGGGCAAAATTTAAAATAGATTTTAAATTTTTTATGGATTTACAGCATTACTTAAAGACCAAAAATTTTTCTTTTTAATTAAACCCTAAAAAATAAAAATTTTTGGGCTCATTTTTTATAATTTACCCCCCTGTTTCTATGTTATTTATTTTTTTTTTATCCGACCCGGGGTTTAAAAATACTGGTCAAACGTTTCCCATATATAGAACTGAAACAAAAACAGTTTTTTAAAGGCCCCTGCGGGGTTAAAAAAACCGGGGTAAAAAAGGGAAAACAAACAATTTTATTACCCGACTCCTAAAACAAATTTTTGGAAAATACTACAACTTTTTTTCTTTTTTTCGTAATCGTTCCCGGGAGAAAGAGCGGGGTTAATTTGGGGTTTCCCTCAAAATGGGGTTTCATTCCCCCTGCGCGAACATGCGTTTTCGAGGGTTCCCAAACATTGCAAGGGTCCCTTTAACCAAAAAATACGGCCAAGGCTTTTTCGTATTTGTAAGTAATGTAAAAAACTTATGTTTAAAGAAATTTTTTACTGGAAAAATTTTAAAAACTAGTAAAATTTTTTTGAAGAATCAACGCTTTAAAACGACTAAAGACCAAAGGGCAAGATTTTGGTCAAGGCACACACAAAGGGCCCAAAGGTGAAAAATGCTCGAGGAAATCATGGATTTTAATTTAAAAGAAATTTAAATTTAAAATCCCTGGGGAATTTGGTTAGATATAGAAGTTCTTTCCCTTTGGGGCTGTAAAAAATTTGAAAATTTTTAACAAGAAAAAATTTGTAAGGCTTAAAATATTTTTTAAAAGGGGGGTTTTCAAAATTTTTAAACTCGGAATGCCACGAGGGGGTTTTTTTTTTCCCCTTTGAAAATTTTTCTTTAGTGTTTTGGTCTTTGTTTAAAGTAACAAAGGTTCTTAGTTTTAGAAAAAGGTATACGAGTTCAAATTGCAGATGACCCTCTCATGTGCAAATCAAATTATTGCGACTTTACTGTTTCTTATTCAAATACGATGTATTTTTATCTCATTTTCTAACAGTATATTTGCTACTTTTTGTGAATTTTGAGATTTTTTTTTATAATTATTGGACATAAAAGTGGGTTCAACACTTTTGCTCTTATTTTACAGGGGTTTGTGCACACAATAGGGAACCACAAATTTGCTGTGCCTTGTGATAAACACTCTAGAACTAGGGATGGTTTTGTAAGTAGATAACATGTATATAACGGCATGTTATAAGCGGCTCGACGAGGCTGGCCCGAAGGGCACTGCTTTCGCAGAGCGAGCTTTACGGTAACGCGAGTACCTGACTAAGTGATGGTTTTGAAAACTTTCGTCCAAAGAACCGAATTGGACACATCGCAACCTTTCGAATTTAAAGATAACGATAAAAACTGAGGAATTCTGACTGAAAACGGATGTGTAGACTGGTCACCCGCGCACGTCTATGGAAACCTTAATTGGACAGGGAACCAGAATAACGGAAGCTGTGTATAAAAAATGAAATTCGAAGGCGCCATTTTGTTTGAAATCTGATAAATAAAAACAATTTTTTTGGTCAAATTTTGTTGTGAAAGCTATCTAGAATGAAAGAAAATGGTCTAACTAAGAAAATGAATCCGAACACCAATATCTTTTATTCAGTCGTTAACGCTGTACAGACGTTTAAAGTATTGTTTACGTGACGTCACAACGTAGCGCCAAACAGCACGTGCAAAACAAACAAATTTAATGTCGTAAACGTGTAAACACAGTACGTGTGACGTCACGCGCACTCGTCACTGCATTTGAAATAAAAATGAGCTTTCATACAAGTACATCGAGCTCGCTTTGAGGCTTTGCCTTTTTCATATTAATGTATTCTGGGTAAAAAATAATTACAAATATCAGAATTTTCAGTAAGTCAATACATAAATAAATACAAAAATAAATACAATTTAATGTAATTAAAAATAATATGAAAAAGGCAAAGCCTCAAAGCGAGCTGGATGTACTTTTTACGTGAAATAGTATGAAATAATCGCTCATTTTTATTTCAAATGCAGTGACGATTGCGTGTGACGTCACACGTACTGTGTGTTAAATATGGCTCCGCCCCTGTCGTGAAATGAATAACGAGTTTTGAAAACGTTGATAAAACTTTGTTTATTTTATTTCACTCTATAATTTTTCAAGCGAAATAAAGATTATTTAAAGTGAAATAAATGTAAAACTTAAAACGTTTGCGACATAAAAATAGCGTACTTGATTTGTTTGTTTTGCACGTGCTGTTTCGCGCTACATTGTGACGTCACGTAAACAATACTTTAAACGTCTGTACAGCGTTAACAACTGAATAAAAGATATTGGTGTTCGGATTCATTTTCTTAGTTAGACCATTTTCTTTCATTCTAGATAGTTTTCACAACAAAATTCGACAAAAAATTGTTTTTATTTATCAGATTTCAAACAAAATGGCGCCTTCGATTTTCACTTTTTATACACAGCTTCCGTTATTCTGGTTCCCTGCCCAATTATGGTTCCCATAGACGTGCGCGGGTGACCAGTCTACACATCCGTTTTCAGTCAGAATTCCTCAGTTTTTATCGTTATCTTAAAATTCGAAAGGTTGCGATGTGTCCAATTCGGTACTTTGGACGAAAGTTTTCAAAACCATCACTTAGCAGGTACTCGCGTTACCGTAAAGCTCGCTTTGCGAGCAGGCCCTTCGGGCCAGCTCGTCGAGCTCGCTATAAATATATAAGAATTAGTAATAAAAAATACAAAAACAAATTACATCATAGTTTCTATTATTTATTATATAGGTGAAAAAGAAGGGATATGGATGCATATAGACGCTGCATATGCCGGAAGTGCGTTCATCTGTCCAGAATTCAGGCCAATGTTAGACGGTGTTCAGGTATAACTCTCACGGCAATTCCGCCCAACAAAACTCACTCATAAATACGTATGATGAAAATAAGCATTCGCTGAATACTATTCACGGGCAATGGAATGTACCTGACTGTAATCTTTACTGAGATAAAAACATACCTAGGTTAAGATATCACATGTAGCATTTTTGCTTTGATTCGGTGGAAATAAGATGATGTATATTCCAAATATATTATTTTTGTATCATTTTCAGTAAAAACAAATTGAAAACTGTCCCCTATTCTTTTGCCAGATTCTAACAGTCGGGAAAACTGTCAAAGAGTTCGAAATAAAAGTTATTTACTATAATAAAGAAACCAAACATCCGTGTGACATAATGAAAATCTTTTTACATTTGTTTTGTCACAAACGTTTAATTCACTGATCGTAATTGAACAATATTGTATAGGAATTTAGGAAACTTCACTTTAATTAGCAAACGTATACGCCTAGCGTATGTGCGGGGGTTTCCGAAACAACTCCAGGGGTCGCGACATGGATCTTTTACTAAAACAAGTAATTCTATTTTATTCATTGGCCATTTACTTGAACCATCTTTCTCTTCTGTTTCGTACAGTTATAGTGATTTAGTATTTCGTATGGACGCTTTAAAACTGCTTTATTTACATACTGCTTTTTATGACAAATAATTTTGCATATTCAGCACCATTTTCTCCAGGTGATAAGCATCTAACATGATCTAAAACAATTAAATTAACGTTATAAAACTTATGTTTACACTTGCTAGAGAAGGAAACATTTGAGCCGCGTCACGACAAAACCAACATAATGGGTTTGCGACCAGCATAGATTCAGACCAGCCTGCGCATCCGCACAGTCTGATCAGGATCCATGCTGTTCGCTTACCAACTCTATAACAAGTAGAGAAACTGATAGCGAAAAGTATGGATCCTGATCAGACTGCGCGGATGCGCAGGCTGGTCTGGATCCATGCTGGTGGCAAACCCATTATGTCGGTTTTGTCGTGACACGGCTCAATTTTCTATTTGTTTCTGAGGCATAATGTGCCTTTAACTTTTGTTGCAGTAAAAAGCATTAATTGTAATTTGGTAAATTTCAGTATGCTGAATCGTTTAATTTTAACCCTCATAAATGGCTGAACGTGAACTTTGATTGCTCTGCAATGTGGTAAGTATACGGTTTGTACATGTTGCTATTACCTAAGTTAGATAGAAATATTCCATGTATAAATAATGAAAATTATTTAAATATATACTATGCTCAAATTTCATATTTGAAAATATTTATAATTGATACACAGTCTCTTTGTGAAAACAAAATAAACATGTTTTAATTAACTTCATACAAATTGGATATGTTGTGTTTGAAATTGTAAACACTATAGGTGGTTACAATATGAATATATATTGTCATTAAAAAAACTGGCAGTTTAAAAAAAAGACCAATTTTACTTGACCTTATAATGGGAAACGCAGCTTCCAATACAGAATTTATTCAGTCTGTTATTCAAATTGGACATCGCTAAGAGTTACATAGATTTCAATAAATTTCTGTGATAACATATTATGTAAGGCAAGGATGAGCATAAAATGTCTATGACAACGATTTCGAGATGTGCAGTTTAATCATATATATATCTTTATAAGAATCTATGTATTTGTAAAGAAATGGTATTACTCATAACCCTTTGAACTAGTGAAAACATGTTTATGTTTATCTCGAACGGACCGAGGAACGTCGATGGTTCTACTCAGATACACGCTCATGCCTAAAAAAATGCACGAATGGACATCCGAGGTCTTCCTCAGCTAGCAAAGCTAGGCAGTCGCCACATTACCTGTAAAGTGTTGGTACGACGTAAAATTTATTCGCTTTACATTTATTCGCTTTATTTTATTCACATTACAGGGTTAAAAACAGTGATCTAATAAGTGAAGCATTCAACGTCGACCCCCTCTACTTGAAACATGACAATCAAGGCAAAATGCCGGATTATAGGGTAAATTATATCATTTTTTAAACTTGTAATAATAATCATAAATGAGAACAAATAAATAAAAAATGAAAAAGTAACAAAAGAAAAACAGTCAAATTTCGTTTGCTAACTAAAAGAGCCTGTGAGATAATTAGTTATTACTCAAATAAGCGTCGAAAATATAAAATGTGTGTTTTAATGTGAATCATTTTGGCTTAAGTCAGGGTTTACATTAATTTTGAAAATTTAGAAGTCAAATCTAATATTGGAATTTACATTTTATTGGTAAAGAAGGAAACTATTAGATTTTGAAAGTCTCAAGCTTAAATCAGTAAATGACTCCCAAACTTCTATTAATGAAAGCCTTGCTAGGGTGTTTTTGAGCCGTTTTGTACTTTGTCTTTTTCCTTGTGAAGTTTGTATATTTTTTCCTGCAATTAAAAGCCTTTGATGTTATTTTAATTACTGCAAACAGAAGCATGTAACTGTTGACCTTTCTAAATGATTTAAATTCAATCATTTCACAGGCAAAAATCTGTGTTTGTATTCGGCTATCATCGTAACTTTCCGTGTCATGTATTTGTTTTTAATATGGCTAGGTGACACAGATTTGGATTTTACTTTTGGTTACATCGACGCTTATTACAATAATACAAGCCAAAGAAGTAATATATGATGAGCATGACAGCTTTTTTATTTGTCCATTGTCATTAGTTGTTTTATTTTGTTTTATCTTTATTTGAGCCGCGTCACGACACAACCAACATAGTGAGTTTGTGACCAGCATAGATCTAGACCAGCCTGCGCATCCGCGCAGTCTGATCAGGATCCATGCTGTTCGCTTACAAACCCTATTACAAGTAGAGAAACTGATAGCGAACAGCATGGATCCTGATCAGATTGCGCGGATGCGAAGGCTGGTCTGGATTCATGCTGGTCGCAAACGCACTATGTTGGTTTTGTCATGGCGCGGCTCAATTATTCTCATTTATTCTAACTACAGCATTGGCATATACCACTCGGAAGGAGGTTTAGATCATTGAAATTATGGTTTGTTTTGAGAATGTATGGACAAAAAGGTCTCCAGGAATATATACGAAAGGTACTAAATAATCTTTTGTTTCAAATGCATTGTCCTTTACAAGATACACATTCGAATATAGAAAGTGATTTCAAATATTTTATGTCAAATCCTTAACGATGTGTGAAAGATGGCGAATTTAATGTACTACTCTGAGACTTTCGACCAATGACCCTTTATAGTGCTTTACACATGACATACTAGTTGATTCATGTTATATCCGTAAGAAAGACAAAACAAAGTGATCCGGAGGTCTAACGCAGGCAAATCATTCTTAAAATTGCTCCGAAATGGCATCATTATAAATTACGTGGCACATTGTACACGTAAAATGGGGGTAACAAATAATAATATTTTCAAGCACCGTGAAATCAATAGAAAATCCATGTCTGATATGCAAGAAAGTATTACATTCACTACAATTTTCCCCTTCATCTGAAATTTTACGTGACGTTGTGATGATATAAATCATTGATTCCATACGTTTAACCGGCCCTGAAACTAACGTGACGCTATGACACCATAAATTACTGATTCCATTTGTTTGACTGGTTCTGAAAACGTAGCCTACTACTAGGTGACGCTGCGTCATCATAAATCACCGATGGTATAAGTTTGATATTGGATCTGAAAAAATTAAAATTATGTGGTGTTGTGATACCAAAAATTACTGATTTCATACGTTTGACTGGTTCTGAAAACGTACGTGACGCTGTGACACCATAAATCACTGATTTTATACGTTTGACTGGTTCTGAAAACGTACGTGAGATTTTGATACCAAAAATTTGTACAAGGTTTGAAAACGTACGTGACTCTGTTAAACCATACATCACTGATTCCATTTGTTTGTCTTATTATGAAATGTATTACATTTTAGGACGTTAGGTTAGCGCATGAGTTTGAGGCTCTTGTAAGAAATGACGACAGGTTTGAAATCTTTGGCAAGGTTGTTATGGGCCTAGTTTGTTTTAGACTTAAGGTAAGTCTATTTCTTGATACTTTAATGAATAAATCAATCGAAATTGCCATTTTCTTTCTACTGCACTCCATTCATCCTGTCGCAAAAAAAGTTTATTTTTACATCAATATATTCTTTGGGAAATAATAAGAGCCATTTATTCAAGTAATTTAAATGACGTCTGCTAGATTTGATCGTCTGAAAATTTTGACGCGGGAATCTTTTGCTTTTGTGACAGTAACGTAAGACAAGTACATTTATTGTATACTAATGATGCTATTTTGACAAAAAAAATATGAAAATAGTCAAAATGGTATCTACAAGGTCTCCAAACACGAAAAAATAATTACCGGCCTGAACATGGACGATTGTGGTAGATGCAAGGTTTCAATCCATGCCCGGTTGCACCGTTTTAAATAGATAACCATCATAAGTTTTTCTTATCGTTTCTTTCAGAAATCAAATGAAATAAATGAAAAGCTACTGAAAGCTATAAATGCAGACGGACGTATACATATGGTGCCGTCTAAAGTAAAGGACACATATTTTCTACGGTTGGCCGTCTGTGCCTCTAGAACGAATTCAGATGACATGACCTTTGCTTGGAAAGTTATACTGGAAGTAACATCAAGTATTTTAAGTAGCGAAAAGTAGTGCATATTAGTGATAGGATAATTTGTTTTATCTCAGAAGAATTTATGGTGAAATACCAGTCATAGGCGGCCTTATCGGAGTATGAGGCAAGATGAGCCACGTGACATGGTAAGGTCCATATTTTATTGTGTCTATAAGAATGCAGCAAGAACTGTATTGAAAGATGTACTGTGATTTGTTGTGTCATGATGTAAAGTTTATAATAAATATAAAGAGAGTGGATTGATCGTCACCTTGTAACTTTTATTTCCAAAATAAGTCCAAACATATTTATTTCATCTTTTATCTTTATGTCACCTTGATAAGTTCTTTCAACTTATAATAATAACTCCCGAATCTACTCCTAGTGTTATATCAAGTAATGTGGACCAAGTAGTGCTGGGCGCATTATTTCTTGACCGTTATGACTGACCTAGCTTTACCCATATCATAAAGAGTATATAGCAAGACACGTGATATAAAATAACAGAACAATGGTCAACAAGGAGGGGCGACATTACTCAATAAACAAAGGCCCCCACCGTCCTCAACAAATACAACACAAGAGCCGGCCGATGCGGGTGATACTCCCCAAATAGGTTTTGCGCACAGAGAATTAGTTTTTTTATTGATATCTCCTAGAGTTGTCAGAGTTATGTCCAAGACAAAGTGTAAAAAGGGATATACCTCCAAAATAAGACAAGGCAGAGTTACGGTTCTTGTGCACTGCACTTCTACACAATAAGGTGTAACTATCTACTAAGTTACATGTCGATACCTCATGTAGTTTCAGAGTAATATTCCAAACAAATTTCAAAGTGTAAAAAATAAAAAGGGCGATAACTCCAAAATTAGACAAAACAGAGTTACGGATTTAATACACTGCACTTCTACTTAATGAGATATATCTACGTACTAAATTACTTGTTGATACCTCCTGTAGTTTCAGAGTTATGTTCCAGACAAAGTTCAAAGTGTAAAAATGTAAAATGGCAATGACTCCAAAAGTATGCAGGGCAGAGTGACGATTCTTAATGCATTGCACTTCAACCCATTAAGATTTATCTACATACAAGTGACTAAAAGGCGATGGTAAACGATGGCACGATAAAAATAAAAATTCAAGATTGTCCAAACGGAACAAAAAAGACGTGCTAAATGTTAGCGTTACACAAAAGGCGCTTCAATGATAAATGATTCTTTTTCACGGGATACTCCGGCAAATTAATGACAACAATATCAAAATTATCTTATGTACTCAAATCTGTCTCCCTTTAAAACAGTCTTCGATTTCGAGATGAATAGAATATTATATTTGTGTAGGTCCATTACTGAATTGATTGAATTTGTTCAATAAAATAACATTATGCTCGCCAGAGGCTAATATAATTTGATTTAATTTTGTATTTAGCATGCACTCATTCAATACCAGCTGTTTATTACACATATGATCTATACATGTACAAGTTTTTGTGATAACGTTTGGATGGTACCAAACATTATACAGTTATTTCATATGTGATTTGGGAACAGTCAAACTGTTGGCCCGAGGTGGAGGGGATAGTGTTTTGAACTGTTGCCCAAGGCTGTAGGCCGAGGGCAACAGTTCAAAACACTTTCCCCAACACAGAGGGACAAGTGGTTGACTGTTGCGAAATCACATGTAAAATAACTTTTTCATAACCTAATCACAGTACTTGCAGATGAAAAAAAGGACAAGAAAATAGTTTCTCAAATATGTTAATAGATCTAATAAACTTTGCAAATTTTAAAAATCTTTTAACTATGTCACATCACACCTGGTTTATGACGCTACAAGGGGGGATCCACTATGACGTCAGAGCACGCGAGGGAAACAGTCGACACTATTGACCGGTCAACAGTTCGCGTACGTGGACGTTTTAGGAATATCAGAAAACAGTAAAAACATTTATATAAGGTATCAGGTAATAATAGGGATTGGCTGCCGGCACATTTTATGGTAACTAAGAATGTTTATTCACAGGCTCTGTAAATTGACAAGGCGACCTCTACGTGTAACGGGTATGCGGAAACTAAAAGCAATTTTAACTTATTGGTATAAAATTGCTGAGTACATGGGTAAATATACACAACTTTTAATTATTTGCAGAAGTAGTCTATTGGTCAACTTTTAATTAAATTCATCAGCTTATTTTAATTTAAGGCAGTGTTGACAAATCAAACAAAAATAAACTAATTTTACAACGCCGGTATAGATCCATGTTTTTTCCCGAGACCATTGCTGGCTAAGTCGCTCTCGAAAACTATATAAATATAGATATAGTACTGATGCAAACTCTAATACTTTTCTAAAAATATTTTTGGTAATATTTTAAAACTCTGATGATCTATATAGGTATAAGATAATTTTGCAAAATAGACCAGTTAAAATGAAAACTGGAAAGAAGGGAATATGGCGCTTAATAAACAACTTAAATACATCAGCAGAAATTTAGCCATTATAAACTAAAAGGGAAACAACGCCATAGAATATCGCTGCTTCTATATATCAATTAATTATTACAAAACGGGAAGTTATAAATGAAAACAAAGATTAAAAAGGAAGGGCGGCATTCAATGAACACATCCTCAACAAAATCTAGCAACTCCATTTAAAAAAATCTGACCAATTTCTTTCATTCTAGGCGCTAGTATTGTATTTTTATTTCAATCACAATATAAACATATAATTATGTTTTTTTCCGACCCACAAACAGAAGATATATAGCTTTATACACTTTAAACGAACTTTCCGCTCAAAGCGGAAGATCAGTTTGCTCGTCTTTTGCTTTGCGTCCATAAAAACAATATTGTATTGAAGATCCCGGTTTATTTTATATACTCATTCAATATCCTGTATTTATCACATACCCTTGCCGATTTTGCGACTCCGTAAATATGGTATTGCAGGGCCGTGCATATTTTTGACGTGACGTCATTAATCTTTTACAAACATAGTGTAAAGACGCGCTAAATGCTAGCGTTATACTATAGGCGCGTCAAGGAAAAATGACACTTATTTCACTTTAAACTGTCTTTATTTTGGGTATGTGATAAATAGAATATTAAATTCGTGTAAGTTCATTACTGAAATTATTGAACTCGTTTAATGAAATAATACTATGCTCGCCAGAGGATCGCATAAATAGAGGATATTGAATGTGTGTAGATCTAAGTTCAATACTGAATTTATTGCACGAGTTGAATAAATTTATATTATGCGAGCCTCTGGCAAAATATATGCACGCCCGTGCAATACCATATTTACGGAGTTGCAAAATCGGCACGGGTGTGTGATAAAATCTAATTCAAGACTGCACTGTAGTTGATTTTCAGTTGATTTTAATTTTATCTAAAGAAAAAAGATTACATCATTTAAATGCAGAACAGGTGATTATTTATTTATTTATTTATTTTTGATTATATTCTTTTATTTGCAGAAATGGGTAAATTTGGCAATTTCTTTGTAAGACATCTGTAACTTATCATAGTAGAGATTCTCCATTTGAGCTACACGTTAATCATAAAAGAGCATTCTTTGCGGTTCAGTGATTTTATAATATTAAAGGAACTCCGCTGCGGTCCAAAAGCCTAAAACCCATACAATTTGAAAATGTTACAAATATCAAGTGAAACACTTACAACGAAAAACTCTGCCACGATAACTGAGATCTATACTCAGAATTAAATGAGCCGCGCCATGACAAAACCAACATAGTGGGTTTGCGACCAGCATGGATCCAGACCAGCCTGCGCATCCGCGCAGTCTGATCAGGATCCATGCTGTTCGCTTACCAACCCTATTACAAGTAGAGAAACTGATAGCGAACAGCATGGATGCTGATCAGATTGCGCGGATGCGCAGGCTGGTCTGGATCCATGCTTGTCGCAAGCCCATTATGTTGGTTTTGTCGTGACACGGCTCAAATTTAAATGTTTTTTATGGTTTGAGTGAAAAGCGTTGCAACGCTTTACATTTTTAGGAAATTTTGCACAATAAAATGATTATTCAATAATTTGCACACAATTTATTGGGCCAAACCTTCATCAAATGGTACACAAAAATCTGACAAATAATTCATGTTTAAAAACCGCGGTAGAGTCACTTTAATGAGTGTAACGGAATTCACTCTTTTTCTTTGGTAAGGTTAAAAAGGTTTACATTAAAGTGACATAATGTTCATTTTATGGGCTGAATCGTTTACATATTTTAAAAATTGACTTATAATGGTGGCTGGTTGACATTGGAAAATGTTAAGGATAAAATATTAACCTGTCTAAAATATATAAAAAGACTACCCACTTTAAAAAAAAAATAAATAAAAAAAATGACCGTTACAGGTAAATAAATGCCTATCGATAATATACTGAAATTTCCTTACGCCACGTGGGTTATTTTTCATCGAAGTAAATTATAAAATCAAAGAAATTGTGATGAAATATAAATTTATTTTAACTTTTACATATATACATGTATACTCTTGTTATACCCTTGGGTGAGCAAAATCTCACTTTAAAGTAAAAATATCTGTATACTCATTTGAATAAACACGTGATTATTATCTTATTGTTCAAAAGTCCTTTCAATCTCATTCGCGAATATACTTTCATTTATCTAACCAATCAGCATACACTTTTAGCTAAGTGACCATACTATGTCGTTTGGATAGCAATTTTTAATATCCTGTCCTGTTTAAAAAATCAAATATTGGATAGCCATATTAAAACATACGCAAGTATAAAAGGCGGACATTTTGAAAGATTTTATTATCAGGTCTCTAACATGATGATGTGCAACACCATGCAAGAATTACTTTTCTTTGTTTTGGTAATATTCAGTGATGTTTTCATATGTAACGGTTCGGTGCAGTCTTCAGCCTGGGCAAGCGAACCTGCATATGATAATAAGATATCTGACGACTTTGTTGTAGGAACATTAAACTCTTCCAGTAAGATAAAGTGTGTCAGCGAATGTGATAAAAGGACGGATTGTGCTTCAGTTTTTTACATGAAAACGCCGCCATTATGCCAGCTTCACAGCGTCAGATTTCCATCGCACAGCTCAGACGTCCTGAAGTACTCAAAGCCAAAACCTGGAACGAAATATTTTTACAATAAAAAAGAAAACGCAATAACAACCCCAACTACATCTACAACATCAACAACAACAACAACAACAACACCTACAACGATGACGTCAACATCTAAAACAATGACGTCAACAACAACGACAACGCCAGCGACAACACAACATTGTGCCGGATACCAGTATTTTTCAAATATTAACAAATATATCAACATTTTGCCTGAAGTATTCAGTTGGGACGTCGCAAAAACTAACTGTAAAGCGAACGGAGGACACTTTCTCTCAGTCACAGACCATGCTACATGGAAGGCCGTTGCTACATATGCAAACAGTAGTAACATGGTTGCATTGTGGGTGAACGCTAGATACGACGACACTAGGGATGATTTTGTATGGCAAGACGATTTTTCATCGCTGAAGAACAACCCACTGTGGACAAAAAATCAACCACAGTACCCACAGATGGACACAAAATGTGTAATGATGTTAAAAATGTATGACTATCTTTTTGATGACACGGAATGCTTGAACGACAATGGGATACATCCGCTTTGTTACTGTACCTAGAAAGCAGCCAGTTATTTCGTTATCTATGTAAACGAATGTTATATTGACGGTATTGTGACTTGAAACATTCACGTATAACACATTATTCATTTCTCTTAATCATATTTCGATCAACTTGATACATTACTTCCGGTTTTCTGATTTAAAACATACCTCTGTTGTGTAATTTTTCCGTATAAAAATTTAAAGCAGCACGCCTCCAGATTAATGCTTATTTTCATGAAAAATTTGAAAATGTAATTTAAAGTGTAACATTTTAAAGTGACCAAAAGGAAGCAATTTACATATTATCAATAGCATTTACATCCCATGGTAAGTAATAGAAAGAGCATCGAAACACGAGGTTATCTAATTTGTACGAGGGGGCGTAGCCCCCCCGAGTATTGATTAGATTGCGGAGTGTTTTGGTGTTCTTTCTCTTTTGTATCATAGTCAAACATAAAAACACGTTTCTTGTTGTCACTAGAAAAAACCCAAGAAAAAGTAACCAATGAAAGAGCATCTGAATATGATATTTCTTACGCTTTCCATTTCTCTGCCGTCACAATAAGTAAACCCCAGCAAAAATGAGCCAATCAATGGGCATGCTCTGGAGTGCGAGTGACTAATACCTGCACTCCAGTTACCGCACTGTGCATGTATATGTTTACGATTTAACTCGGACACATTTTCAACAGAAAGGTCCCCAAACTATGATACAACTATAAAAAGAGGTCAAAATATGTAAAAAAAAAATGCCTTTACTACGTTACTAACGCATTAGAAATATAATTACACACAATAAAAATTAATTGCGTATATACCATGTACATTTTTACTTGAATGTTGTTTCTTTCTACTTTTCCTAAAATCTTTTTTCTCAAGTTTGAATTTATTGAAATATTGTCGCTCATCTGGAGGCATGCTGCTTTAAAAAAAATTTTTTTTTCGTTTGAGTGAAATATGGAATATATTTTCTTAATTTCACAATACTCTATTGCTCTTTGAATACAATTTAAGAACATTATTTTCACATAACAACATTTTTGACAAAGGGCAAAATGGTTTAACAACACGTTCTGGCAACATTAGTAGCTGTCATTCCTTAAGCATTATAAGATATAGAAACGAAAACATGTTTAAACACTATACGAATGAGCAATTACAAATATTTAGACAAAATAAAAAATGGAGCAAAAAGAATGCGATATTAAATTTAAAAGCATTTGCTAAAAAAATCATTTCCCTGCACTTGCAGTATGTGATGGTTTGTATGGCTGTCAAAACATACATGTCATTTACAAAGGGAAATTAGAAGAAATGAAATTGGAACAACGATTATTAACTTTACATGTACTTATTTGTTGTTATTTAAATCTATGTGTGTTTTTTAATATATTTTTGAACATCGTGAAATAAAAAAAGAGTTTCCTCATCTGATAAATTTTCTTTTCCATAAAAGAAAGTACTTGTACTGTACTTAATGGATGAGTAGGGCGACTGGAAGCGAAAAGTTGGAGTCTTTGAACGCCATAATAATAATTACAATTAAAAAAGAAATGTTCAGCATTCTGCTCCATATAGCAAAACTCACAAACAGGGGAGTTTGCTAATTGATTTCTATACGGATCATCATTCAAATTACTTCACATATTTCTTAAACGTACATGGTAAGCAGATGATTATCTTTCTCCAATTAAATAATATTTATAGACAAGTGTGGGTTTGAATTTATCCTTAAGTTTAGTTTTGGACACATTTGAAGAAGGCGAGTCATGCATATCATTATCAAGACTATTCCATGCCGAAATTGCTGAGGGTATAAATGATCTAGAAAATATTTCTGTTCGTCGCGCTATTGTCACGCAATTATCGTTATTATTAAGGTTATATTGGCTACTTTCTGATACAAAGTGTCAAGATAACTTTGAAACTCCCCTGTTTTAGCTTTATACATTATTGATAATTTTTGCATTAAACGGCCATCTGCTAAATAGATCCAACCTATTTCGTGCAGAAGTCTTTCTATTGACTCTTAGCGAGTCAAACCAGTTACTAAGCGAGCAGCTTCGTGATGCATTTATTTCATTTTTTTCCTGTTTTCATATAAGGTACAACTGTCCCAAATAACACTAGCGTGTTCTAATAAAGGCCTTGTAACACCGCACTTTGGGATCAAACGCACTTTGGGGTCCGACCCCAAAGTGCGGTGTTACAAGGCCCCTTGTAGGGAATATAAATTTGATTTAATGTTGATCTATTTAATTTGAACTTAAATAAACTCATAAAACCTAATATGTTGGACGCCGATTTAGTATTATTAATATGTTCATGCCAAGTTCCATCATCACTGAAGGTTAACCCCAAATGCCTGTGGTGTTGAGTGTAATAAAGTTAAAATTTGTTAAAGTAAAAAAAAGGTCTTTCATTTCTAATAAGAGAACAAAATAATACTTTTGTCTTATTAGGATTAAAGGTTAAAAGCCATTGGTTTGCCCATTCAGTAAGAGTTTTAAGATCAATATTTAGAGGCATTTCTATAAATCTAGAATTCTCGCTTGTTACTGACATAGAACTATCATCTGCAAAAAAGACGATATAAAACATATTTTCACGAAATATGATAAACTTCATTGAATTTTGTCATGTTGTACGAAAATTTAGTGAGTGAAAATGTATTTTTTTCACGAATTACAAAAAAAAAGAACAATAAAATCAACAACAACAAGAAGAAGAAGAACAAAAACCCAAATAACACTTTTTTATATTTTTTTCCGAGTTACTGAGGTAACTGAATTGAAACCAATTGTAGGTTCGGCTACTTATCCTTCAAGGGACATTGTATTCCTTCATTTTCGGTAAGCTATCCAGTCAGTCTACGGAAGGTCGATGGTTCTGTTCAGATACCCGCTCGTGTCTGAAATAAAGCACGAAAGGTGCGCCTGAGATATGAAAAGACGTCATAATTATATTACCTTGATAGAGTCGTTATGCTTTAAGACCCTACCATGCTTTATCACGACTGCCATATATATCTGTAACAGTCTCAATCCACGTCCTTAACGTTGTTCTGCCGAGCCGATGCTATGTTGACGGTAGGTTGTATTAAACAATACCACTATGAACAGGCTCAATCGAATCGAACCTGCAACATTTTTCTACTTCAAGGTTAAGATTTTGTTTATTACAATATGTATATACACACATCAATTTTGTTTTCACAAGCCTCAATGGAAACTAGACGTTTTTTATTGTTGTCTTCTTAAAACGTTTTTGATTTCGTATACGTACCACAATTACACAAGCTTTCAGACATTCTACAAAGAAAAAATAAACTACACTACAAGATTATATAACTTTAAGGCCCAATCTGCCCTAGAAATGTTTTATTTTTATTTCTAAAAAATATTTTTGTGTACATTTATAGTTACCATAGGTAACCCTTTGTCAAATGACCCGAAACATCTTTTTCTTCTGTTTTTCTTTGGCAATTAGTGCAGTTACATTGATTTGGTGTTTTGTATGGAAGTCAAAAAACTACTTTGTTTACATGTTACTACTTATATGACTACTAACATGACAAATAAATTGGCACCTATCGCTAATTTCATCAGGTAATAAACATATTACATTCTCTAAAACCCATATTTTAAAGGGAATCCATCGAGGTGTTTTGACATGATGGGACTGAAAATATCTTTGTGCAAAATTTCAGATCATCCACGCACTTCGTTGTTCCAGAATAAATATTTAAATTGTAAATAGATGACCCAAAATGAAAAGCGTGTAAACGCTTTTCACTCAAATAGGGCAAGAAAAAGCATAAAAATACTATTTTCAATTTATTTCAAAGTATATTTCTTAACTATCTTAGCATATATTCCTATTTAAAGTGCCCAAGCTTATTTATGTAAGAATGTACGAATAACAAATGTTGTGTTTTTAGGCTTTTAAACCTCAGTGAAGTCCCTTTAACATTATGAACTTCATATTTGCTTCTTCTTAAGAAGTAAAAATAATTCGTTTCTTAGGCATAAAGTGCCTTTAAGAATGCATTATGTAAAAACATGTTCTTTCTACAGAAAATTAACAACGAACTGTATAACCAGATTATACAACTGCAGAATGCATACATCAAGAAGGTGTTACCCGTGGTACTGATAGTAATAGAAAGAGCACCGAAACACGAGGTTATCTGATTTGTACGAGGGGGCGTAGCCCCCGAGTATTAATCAGATTACCGAGTGTTTTGGTGTTCTTTCTCTTTTGTATCATAGTCAAACATAAAAACACGTTCCCTGTTGTAACAATATGAAACCCCGGCAAAAATGAACCAATGAACGAACATCTGACTATGATATTTCTGTCGCTTTCCCTCATTCGGAACTGCCTCGGCTATTATCTATAATAACCTCGGAAACAATACGGATTGAAAGTAGTTCTACCACGTGGTTTCAGATGTAAACAGAAACAGAGATAATGTAAAACGAATGTATATATTTGACATCTAATGTCTGTTCCGGTACTCTTTTGCTTGAAAATATGTCTGACAACAATTTGTAATTTAAATATGCCCACTGATGTTCAATTTTAAACAAATCCGACTAAATGTCAACAGGTTGGGTTTTTGTACTTTCGGTTTCTACAACCATAATAATAAATATATAAATAATGTATTGTTTGCTTTTGTACCTATGAATTCACTTATTTTAGGTGGACTTTTACTACATAAATTGGAAATAAATTTGTCAACAACTCCAAGCATTAAATTACTATTTGTTTACATGTTTAGTTTCTTAGCGTAGGTTAGACCTAAATACCGCATCCGTTCTGTGTATTCATACTATTGTGTTCGAGGTCCTTATCCGAAGACTGACGGAAAGGGCCGAGAAGTTGCGATTGGCTTTCCCTTTCTCTGCCGTCACAATATGTAAACCCCAGCAAAAATGAGCCAATCAATGGGCATGCTCTGGAGTGCGGGTAACTAATACCCGCACTCCAGTTAACGCACTGTGCATGTATATGTATACGATTTAACCCTGACACATTTTCAACAGAAAGGTCTCCAAACTATGATACAATTACAAATAAGATTCTTTGAAAAGGGTTTTTTACACTTTAATCTTCCGTATTTAAATTAGTTTTATCTTGTATTAATAAAACGGTCTTATTTCACAGCCTTTAAAGTTAAGTTATACTATGCTCATCCTTGTGTAAAATATATTTAGCACAGAAATTTATTGATATCTATGAAATTCTTACCCAATATGTCTAATTTGAATCAAAGAATGAATAAATTATTAATTGAAATACAGGTCATGTGAAATTGGTTTGTTCTTAAAAAAACTGCCAGTTTGTTTTTAGTAATACTTCATATTCATATGGTAAC